CAGCTGGACACCGACCGCCGGCTCACACAGCAGCAGAAGGAGCACGAGAGGAGTGTGCAGCTCTTACTGCAGCAGTGTCGAGGTGCGGGTCACATGGCCTAAAAATACATTTATTGTCTCTCACTAAATTATAAGGTTTCCTGCATGTGTTTTTGTGCTTGCACCACCATAAAACATATTATAAAATCATCACTCTGGTCTAAACTGGACATATTTAAGGTTACCAGGTAGAATTGAAATTGAAGGTAATGCGAAAAGTCAAGTTCCATTTTTGTGTTAGAAAATATTTTTTATTTTGTATTACATTATTTACATAATCAACTTATAAAATAATCAAAATGTGCATACTATGGTGTGTGCCCCACAGACCAAATAGACGAGGGCCTGGCAGGAAGGCAGCGGCAGTATGAAGGATGGATCCATAACCTCAGCATGGAGCTGAACCACTACAAAGCAGCAAACCTGGAACTAAGCAACAAACTCAGGGAGCTCTGTGGTCCAGGCAGCCACCCAAAGGAGCATATTAAAGGTACAAGTATTATCAGATCAAAGTGTTGTTGCTTTTAACATGTATGATTACATAATCATTGTGTTTACAGCTTCCAGCAAGATGGCTTTGGCTATCCAAGCTATAATTTGCTTCTTGCCAAAAAAAATGACTTGAGTGCAAATATACTTCCACATATCCTGAGGCACATCCACTTTTTTAAGATCATTTGTTACCCTCAGATCCTTACATAGATTCATATCAGCTTCTGTGCCTGTGGGAAAAGCTTCACTGGTGTATTGCTGAGGAAACAGGATACATCTTTCCTTTGGGCTAAAACTAATTATTATTTTCTTTATCCACCAATCCGCCTGTTATTTTCTCAAAAGAAAAAACGTACTCTTTAAAATGGCAGAAGGTAAAAAATAGTTCAAATATCCCCAACTTTCCTAAAGCCTGAAGTTACATCTTTAATATGTTGTGTTGTTGAATAGAAGACTCTGGTTGAAGGTATTCTTGCTTTTTAACCATAACAACGCATTTCCTTCCTTTCTGAGGACATGCACAACCCACACTCCAAACAGATGCAAATTAAGCAAGGCAGCAGCATGAGCTAATACTAACTTCATAAATGTATCATCGTTAAGATTTTAGTTTACTTTTCGCAGGCTTTCTATGTGAAATGTTAATACAAAAACAATAACCAGTAGCTGCAGCTGTCTGATACATGTGTTTAAGTAAAAAAACACAACATTTCTTTCTGAAATGTTCAGAAGAAGTAAGAAGTTGCCTCAAAATGTAAATAGTTCACAAACATTTGACTTAAGTATATTGCTTAAGTTAATCGATTACATTTCCATCACTGCCGTCTAAGGTAAATTTGCTTGCAGGAATGTTATTTGGCTTTCTGTTTCTTTGATCAGATATTTAGCCCTCAGATCTGTATTTTAACATTGGTTTTGATTCAGTAAGTCCCATGTAGTAGCATTCCTATCTGACGGCTCTAACTCTCCTTTTGACGTGTTGTCCTTCGATGTAGCATATGATGGAAGAGCAGCAGGCGTTGGCAGCATGGAGAAGTTGACCCGCTTCCCTGAGGACAGCAGCGGGGGCAGGAGCCCGGACCAGGCCTGCAGGTCCCGGGAGGAAATGCGTGAGCTGGTGAACACTCCCCTCCCGTCCACATGGAGGCGCTCCTCTCTCCCCACAGAGGAACCTGCTGTCATGGAGGAGCTGTGGCTCCAGGCAGCGGGGGACGTTCCCGTTAACCGTGTAGTTCAAACTGGGGTGGGGTCCTGGGGCGGGCCGGTCCCAATGCCTGTGGTGAAGTCTCGCAGAGAGTCGCGGCGTTCCAGCCTTAACATTGGACCACTGACTTCCAACAATTCATTAATTGATGTACGGAAGAATCCTGTCTGAAAAGAACTGTATTGTGGCCCTTAAAGTGGCAATAGACAACTTTTAACCCCCTCCCTTCCCAGCGTTACCAATGTTTTCATTTTCCTCAGAGCCTACTATTAACAACAAAGTTATTGACTTGGAAAGAAGCAAGAAATATTTTTGAAATACATGTTATTATAATGAATTCTGAATGCTGCAGAGCATTATAATGTCCACAGCTTTTCTGCCAACAGAAGTCTCTCCGAACGACTCAACTACAAAGCTTTATGCAAATGATGCGCAATGACATTGCGACAGTTTTGTCATTATCTAGCGACTATTGGAGCTAGTGCTGGCTTCTTTCATTTACAAACAGCTGGCAACACTTCACAGGACACACTGCATTTTATTTTTAACAGCTTTGTGCCTTAAACCAAGCCTTCATTTTCCCAGGAGATTTGCAGAATGAAAAGCGAGGCTTATAAGGTACCAATCTTAATGTTAATAATGTCATTACTCTACAGCCAGTACATTGTGCAATCAACATTATCTTTATAATCATGAGTTAAAAAAACGTGTCTATTGCCAGTTTTGGGTGTTTTGCTTAGATTTTAGTTTTGTTGTTTCAGAAAGGTTTGTGCTATAAATTGTCTTTGTGTTTTGTACTTGTATATAACATTTTTTTTAATAAGCAAGGACACCCACTAATTTTTTATATAAAGCACTTTCACTAAGGTAAAGTATTGGTTTCCATGTCATACAGAATTTGTAGGTATATTGTCCTGCCAACCATGAACAAAGAGGAAGTATTTGCATCATGACAAACATAGGATGTGCTCTAAACATGTAGTCTTGTGACCTTCTACAGTATTTTATATTAAAATGTTTTTCCGTATTACTTGTGCACATTATGTTTTTGCAATTTTTATTTAATGGCTGAGGTAATGTAGTCTTTGCATATACAGCTAGAGCTTTGATGCAATGTTGCTTTCAGGTTTGTGGAAATGTGTTCAGTCGTACACTGTGTCTCAGGATTTTAACATGTTTTTGCATTAAGTTGTTTCCATAGTTCTTGTTATTGTTGGCCTTGGTTTCCTAAAATGTCGGTTTCAGGCTGGACATGACTGTGTGTGGAGGTGTATGGTTTGCGCTTGCACACACCAGCATTCAGGATGTGGTTTGAGGAACTCCAGTTTGCAAATGTTCCAGTAGGTGGAGGTAAATACTCAGAAATGTTTCAACATCGACCAGCATGTGGACTTTTATGCTAAGTGTGTGATGTGGACACATGTAGTAATTTACTATCTGCAACATGGCAAACATTCACTACATTCTGCCATGATAATGTGCTGTCCCAAATCAATTAGAAAATAATCAACAATGCATTTTACTATAATGAGTGCATGACAATAATGATTCAGTAAGGAACAGTGTAATTTATTCTCTAATTTGGGATGGTCCTGCATTAAATTGGATCAACATCCTAGTTTCTGTTTTCATGTCCCAAACAAGCCAAAGTATAGGATCCGTCGATGAAAAACTCAGAGGATCATTTCCTTTGAAAAAACAAATAAGACGAAGCTTTCTCATCTGTATTTAACCTTTCTGCCATCATATGTATTGTTACATGAGCATTTGTTTACCTGGTCATCTCTCACTAGCTTGCAGAGAAATTCAACCTTGTGAGATGGGAGTGTCAAACTATCTGAGCAGCAGAGGGCGGCATATCCTCAAAACCTGAGTCCAATATTTCTTAGCTCATCTCCATGAGGGTCAGCAACAGTGTTATTTCACCCTGGACTAAAACTCGAAACCAAACCAGGTTTAGAGAAAGTGCAAGTGTTGGTGGTGAATATGTATTTGTGTGAGCAATAAATTCAATGAATTATTTAAGCTTGTTTTTTTATTAAGTTTAGGTACAGATAAACACAGAAGTACAATACATATATTGTTTAATGGGTAATTACCTTTGGGGGAATAATTACACAAAGAATTGCAAACCTTAAAATGGTCTAGAAATACAAAAAAAGCTGAAGTTGGGAAACATTGGGGCATGAATTTGGGCATAATCATTTTTTAAATTATTGGATAGAGATGATCATCTTGACTGGGGCTGAGATGATGCATTTAATTTTGACAACATGTCTGAACCATAGCCATGTAATTAGTTAAGACTAAATATAAATATTAGCCATTGGGGAACAATCTTTCGTGTACAGTGGGTGTTATGATTTTGCCCAAAAATATGTTTTTCTTTACTAAATATGAATACTAGTGGGGTTGGAGAGCACAGACTTGATGAGCTTTTTGTGTGTTTTTTGTTGTTAACTGTTTTGTATCTTTCTTTCTTATCTGGGCAAGCAATGGATTACCTGCTAACATTTCTAGCGACTGGCTTTAAAGTATATGACTCAAAAATTGATGTATATTGAGCTGTAAAATGTGTATGAGATGATGAAAGACGAGAAGACTCAACATTGGTCTGAAGGATACATACACAACTGAATCTACCTGTGGATTGTTGCCTGCACAGGGTCGGGTACTGTGCGGGCAGTGGGTGAGAACACAATTATTTCAATTTATTTTCTTTATTTTTTTCTGGAGAAATTCAAAATTGCGACGATGGTTTGCAAAACTCGAAACACTCTGGTCTCCCACTGTGTGTTTGTTTTCACTCCCACAAGGGGGCGGCAAAGTCAGATATTTTCCAATTCTGTATAGTGGCTTCAAGTCTAAAGTGTATTGTTTAAACAGCTAAGTCAAGTGGTGAACGCATGCTTCAACATATTATTGATTAACAGTTGTTGGATTTCCTTTTTAACAATGTCATATCATCCATGGACTTCAATTGAAATACCTAAACCATTTAATGACAGAATACATACTAAGACTAACATTTTAACAGTTGGGTTCATGGTGATATACAAATAAATATATAAACCTATATCACTACAGTACAGTTCCTATTGGTTCGTGCAGAGTTAATACAAGCTATTTCTAAACATCGCACATCCACTCACGGGGAGACCACCTGATTGGTTATCAGCGACTTGCCGTCGGTGTGACGTCAGCGCAGCCTGAGGGGGAAAAGGCAGCGAGGAGGTGAGAGGAGATCACTGGAGGCTCCGGCAGGGACTCAGGACCCCGGACTGAAGGGACCCTCGCTGCTCACACTGCGGAGGAGGCCGTCCCACCTGCTGGAGAAAACCCTCCTGAACACGGATACAAACACACAATTCAACAAGGATAACCTCACCCACAGCCCGCCGCGGACACCCAGCCCAGCCTCGGCAGGAGGTGTGGGATTTATCGATCTGATCCACACCTGTTCGTCAAAGCGAGGCTGCACACCAACTCATGAGTCGTCCTGCACATCTGGAGTCCGAGAGATACTGCCCACCGTCCTCAGCACCACATGTGGATGTTTTAGTCTCCATGGATGCAGGAGACACGATGCGAGTGGAGGTGAGTGTTTTGGATTCGGTGGTACTGTTCATATCCACATCATGCATGTTTTTTTAAATGAATGCATCTCATTGTCAGCCTGCAGATGCTCTGGCCTGAGACAGATTTTAGGACCAGGGTGTTTCAGAATGCATTAATTCAACCATATTATGTCCAAGTCTAATGCTTCATACAGGGTTCATAGTTAAAGCCAGATAAAGTCAATATGACTTTTGAGGTATTTTGCATTAAAATCTCACAAGGAGTAAATCTATAAGATACGGGTTGACCTATTTGACAAAAACACAATTAGGCTTTTATGGTAACAATGAAGGTCTGCTAAACCGAGAGCCCTACAGTAGATTGAATCAATAAAGACAACTTCACACCCATTAGGAGCTTTATTAATGTGCCTTGCATGTCTGAAATGGACTACACAGACTCAAGTATGTTGTATTTTGGACATGTTAATTTTTAAAGGTCTATTATTGTTTAAGTAATTTGTGAGAGTTTTCTTCTAGATATACAAAGAAAGTGACGCATGCCTTGTCAGTGCATTTACTCCCCAATTAAAACGACTGACGTCAGACGTGCTGACAAGAAAAGCGTGAGTTCATCACGAGGTTATTTTAAAATGAAATAGATTATAATTTAAATCCATATAATTATAAGAATGAAGGTCAATTTAGAGAAAAAAAAGCATACATATGAGTTTGAAAATGGAGTGATCCTCAAGCCTAAGAATTCAGCATAATTTAATCAGCATGATATCAAGAATAATCCCAGTTCGTTTGGAAAAGCAGAAGAAACTAAGAGATAGTGTCTTTCATAAATTACTACGAGGAATTCAGGCCTGTATGGCCTTTCTGACAGTGTCCACATCCCAAATATAGGTTTTATAGTTGTTGTTTTTTTAAATGACATCTTTACTGTAGAGATTGGGCTTTAATAAAAACAAATATGTGGAGCTAAAGGGGTTAAACTTGGGTCCCTTCTTATTGCAAAGCAGGGGGAATTTAATGTACAGTATTATTTAGCAACATAAAGTGCAATATGGTTTCCACAAAGCCTGTCACTCTACTTCACTTTAGTCATAGGTAGCTAGTTAGTCATAGTTAGGGATGAGTGAATGGTTTAATCTAAAATGTTAAACAATTACTTGAAAGACCTGCCAGACATATGTTTGAATGGGTATTAAGATAATATTTGTCTTTGTATGAATAGCTTAAAAAAGCTAGTTTCAGTTGGTTTTGAAACATTTGTGAAATAATGTTTAGTATGAGATATTATAGTTTTCCAAAACCTAATTCTGCTGGTTGAAAACAGTTTAGGTTGAAGCCTATGCCATGTTAAAGTAAAGTAATTAGGGTATCATTAACTCTGTAATCATTTTTCTTTGTTCCCAGGCAGCTTCAGACTTACCATTTCTGTCAACAATGGAGCCTGTTCCTATCTTTGGTTATCTAGCTGTATGAGTGTTAAACCTCCATCATAAAGCTAGATAACCGAAAGTAGGAATGACCTCCAAACCTTCAGCCTCCTGCGTTAATGAGAGAAAAGACAAAGACAAACACCAGAGGACATCATGTCTTTTCAGGTGGGTTACACTTTTATTTGGACTCTTGGTTGTACAAAATGGGCACTTTTATGATATCATTTTAGGCATCAGGAAATAGTTTTCTGACGTAAACCAAGATTAATCAACAATGAAAATAGTTATTAGTTGCACGCAAAAATACCTTAAACTAGTTCTATGGCATTTTATTGTAATCGCTTAAACACCCCTGTGTAAAATGCTTTGAAAATATCCCTTCTTATGCTTACTGATTTCATATCTCATTTCACTTTGGTTTCTTGTTCAGCCTCTCAAACAGTATCAGACATCATGTGTTTTACCCATCTTAGAGGCCACACACAAATAAGATTGCGTTCTCACAACACAAGCAATATTTACTCTTTCTCTTTCTTGTTTTGGTTTGTGAGATTTAACATGTCAAAGGACATAACTTTTCTGAAGGATTTTTTCTGTCATCTATGGGGATTGGGGAAATATAAGAATAATTATTCAGACATTCTTCCCTGCTGTATGTATTCAAACACCCATACATGTTGCTGTCCCAGCACACTTCCCTTAAACACATACTTTATTACCTGATCATAGTAAATGTGTGCTGTCAATACTGCACATTTAATGCAAAAATATGATGCATAACTCTTTAGATGTGCATAACTTTGGAAGTTGTATATCTTTCTACGCTAGAAGACATATTTTAAGCAACATTTATATTCACTGTGACACAGAGGACCTCACATTGCTTCCCAAACCCCTGTCCTGTATATTTGAAATAACATGAAATATCAGAAAAAAATGACAAAAAAGTACAAGCTATAGGCAACAAAAGAAAATAGTCTGCATGTGACTGATAAGATACAAAACAAAAACCATCAATTGGTGTGAAGAGGCCTAATTTCTATATTTCCCAAACCCATCATTTAATTTCAAATTACTCAGAACATTTTAAGGAGATTTATTGTATTTATTCTCGGGGACTTTGCATGAGATGACAACATAAATCCCATTACAGCAGAGGGTACAATATTTTGTAATCATTTCATGTAAGGACACAATGTGCAGCAGTTATGTGCTGGCAACAATTTCATACAAGGCGTTGGAAATGCAGAGAAAAACTCAAATAATGTCCAAAGCAGTGACTTCTTAACTACACAAAGCTTGTGTCGGACGATGCAGGCTAGACCTCCTTCACTGCCAGAACATCATGTTGTCTATATGGAAGCCATCTTGACGGAGTCTCTCTGCTGCCTCTAAAATGGTTGTGTTGGCACACAGCAGCCGCTCTAAATGCTCCATCGTTAGCTGTGGGTCAGACTTTAATCAGCGCTGTCTTTAAGGCTTCCCGTCTTGCATCACGTCTCCTCTGTGGTGTCATCTCACTAACTAAGAGATGTAGCCACATGTAATTAGTGAGGTCACATTACTGAGCCCTATAAAAGGTCACTCAATGAGTCAGTGTACATAAACTGATTCTGTGATTGAACCGTAAATGAATGAATTAGTGATTCGACTGGTAAACAATCTTATGACATTTGATTTGATTAAAGCTGATGTTCCTGGATACCTGACATCTCTCACTAAGGTCACAAGTGCATGTGGAAATAGTAATGAGTCTTATTAGTTCAGTCTAGTTTAGAGAAACAAAACAGTGTTGCAGATGTAACCTTTAGGTAGCAGACAAGTCATTGACAATTATAAAACCATGATTCAGATACTACAAGTTAAAATGGTGTTTTTTTTTTAAGTAAGCAAAACAGATCCTTAAAAAAATACATTCAATATATTCACAGACATCTGTTTATCCACATGTGGTATTCTAAACTCTGTACCTTTTAAGGTCATAAAACAGTTTAAGAGATTCCTGCAATCACCTGTCAGATTTAATGTGACCACATCTTCATTATGTCAGATTACACTCATATCAAAATGGCAAAAATAAATGGATAAATAAAATATCTAAATGAATGATTTTATTGAAAAGGTTGGCAGGTAAAAATGAAGTAATTAACACTGAAAAAGCACAGTATGCCTTTAGATGCTTTTGTATGCTGCCTGTTTACCTGTTCCTTTAAAAAAGAGAGACAGCAGCATCACCTTTAAAATAGCCCAAAATATTGTTAGCTTGCATTTACTGTAATTATTTGAATTATTATTATTTAAAAATGTTGTAGATAATAAGCCCTGTTAGGCCTTGAATAGGGCCCTTATATGAAACTTATTTGTGAGAACTGCTCCTTTTTTAGCAGATAATTGAAGGCCTTCATTACAGTCTCCTTTTGTTAATATTCTACCAATCAGTGAAGAAACGTAATAATTATTGTTTATAACTTTAGGTTTAAGGTGTAGAGATCACTAACAATTTGTCTCATCAACATGAACATGAACATATATTTTTCAACAAGATTCCTCATTAAAGCGGTGTTGCAGTGCAGATTAAAGTGATATGAGTTTTCGTTAATAAGCAATAAACAAATTATAAAGAAGTCCGACTGGAGCAGGAGGCCTTTATTTCACATTTACTTTATTTTGTACACTTTTCCAAAAAGACCACAGCTCAGATGCTGATTAATGAAGATTTATTATAAAGAAAATGTCTCTTCTTTTACCGCCATTTTAAACATCTGTCCATTAGTTTCACCTTTACAAACACAAGGCCTAATCTGCGGGTTTAATTGTGTATTTACAGTTCGATGCAATTACATATTTGTCATTAAAAATCCGGGCTAATTTACCCGGGTTATTTTACAAATACAGCCCAGAGACAATAAGATACTTACTGACAGAGCGGTGTGTTTTATCCGCAGTGTTGAAACAGAGGGAATCTAGCTCTCACAATGTGCGGCGACATGAACGCTTCTGCAGAAAGTCTCTCTGAGCGCTCTCTGTTGGTCCCTCCGACAGACCTTCGCTGTGCTGGGATAAAGCAGGCTTGACAAAAAACCCAAAAGTGGCCTCACAAAGATGGAAAATAAAGGAAATAATCACGCAAGTCCAGCCGATAATGAATAGGAGCCAGACAAGCTCTGCATATTAACATAATTGCATAGAAACGAGGGGAGAGTATTTAAAGGCGCAGCAGCACACAGCGCCCCTTCATCCTCTGTTATCTGCCTGTCTGGAGAACAAATGAATATTTAAATTATAGACAGAGAAAATGAACAGTCAATTATATTGGCGTTACATTTTTTAATAAAGGTGCAGTAGGCTACGTAGATTTTCTATGATTCGCCCTAAAACCTGAACTTTGTCTATGCTCTGCCTGAGGCCTTCACTAAAATCTTTTTTTTTTTAAATGCAGCCTACAAACTGGTTTGTAAAATAAAAAATCTTAAAATCATTAGTCCTACTCCCCCTGCCACCATCCAACCTGCCCCCCAAACAAATCAACCTGACCCCAAAAGTTGTATAAGAATTTGTCAAATATTCATTTTCTGAAACATGAAAAAGGGAAATAGTTTCAAAATCTGTCTCCAAATTGCCAGGATTTAAACTCCTGTGGGGATAATACTGAATCATTTAATATGTAATTATTTCTTGTTAGGTCATCCATGGACAATAATCAAATGATAGTTTAAAGATACTGAAAAAAGCCAACAGACTCCCACTATGTGTACAGGTTTAATTTTAGAAAGTATACCTTCCCGAAACAGTAAAAGCATGTCCATATTGGAACAAACTCTTACTTTTCATATTTTAAATTGTAATGCTGTTGACCTGTCATATTCAACACACCACCTACTTTCAGACTAAATATCTGTGTTGATACGTTGCAGTTTTTAGTTGACAAAGGCAAGGATTTGTTTTAATAGTCTGCACCATTGCTTGAAAAATAAAAAGGGGTACTGTTCCTTTATTAGACACCAGACTGTAATTAGACAAGATGCTGGGGGAGGGGCAGGTGTGAAGCCTGGTGATAATATATGAGCTCATACAATAAAACACTGTGACTACCAAAGAGCTTGATTAAAAAGGAGTTTTAATCAGAGTTTTAAACATTTCTGTATGTAGATTACTCAGTTTGACTTTAATATCAGACTTGTATGTAATGTGTGTGTTTTATTGTCAAAAACATCATGAAATATCTGGATAGGATGTCTGGGAGCTAATATGATTTGGAAACGTCTCACTTCTTCTTTATTCCTTTCACCACTCAGTGCACAATCCCTCGTGTCTATAATGAGCCTGTTAATTATGTAAAAACAATAATTGATACAATTCCCAATAAGGCATTTTTAGGAAAAAACAGACCGTAGTCAGATTTCCAAGCCAATTAACTGACCTACAACAAATTTGCACCTGTACTTAAAAAAAACAAGTGTTGTTGTTTTGTCTCCTGATGAACAAACACAGTGCAGCGTCTGAGAGGATGCAGCTGCAGGAGACCTGTTGGTAAACAGTAGTCTGCATCCACATTATCATTCTGATCCTGGCTTTGCTCCACAATGGCTGCTTTGTGAAAGGAGCACTTGACAAAGGTCCACCACTTCTTTTTCCCAACGTTGTTATATGTGAGAGGGCGCTGCACTGAAGCCCAGGCGGGAAGTGAGGTGGGAACGTCAGACCAGACAGTGGCAGATGCCTGCATTAGCACCGCAGCCATGAGAGTGTCTCCTGGAAAAGTTGCCCCTTTGTCTTCCTGCCTCTTTATGTCTGTGCTGACTCTCTCACAGTCAGTGTATGGCTGTGTGGTCTCACTCCAGAACTAATGTTAATGAAAAAGAAAGAGGCCATTGTGTCACATGATCATCCTTGATTCATGTTACTAGACTCAGACTGATGAATTGTAACTATTCTCAAAACAACAATTCATAAACAACACACAAATAACACACAATTTATTATTCACAGAATAAAATTTATTGAAAGCCAAAAGTAATTACATCCAACTTTGGAACTGGACATAAGAAGACAATATGATCAAAATAAAACCAAACGTAAAAAAATATATAAAATATGAATAAATAGCAAAAAACCAGCATAAAATCTTTAAAATTCAAATAGACTCTAAAATGTGTTACTGGGGTAAATTACACTGAATGCACACTTTGTTGAAGTATGCTGCATTGGGTGTCATTTGTTATAAGAGCTGTTTTGTTTTCTGTTGTGAGACCTCACTCTCACAAAGCCCAGGTTTCACAGTATAACCTGTGCATCCTGATCCAAACAGACAAACAGCCTCGTACCTCAGCACCAGAACCTGAAGGACTCAGGGCTGAAGGACATTGTATGTTTTTACGTCCCTACAGCCCCCTCTCCCCCCACAAGGACACCGCAGCTGCAATCCTGTCTTAATCTGGGGATAAACGTGATTATCCTGCTATGGCTTGTTCTTGGCTTTGTAACGGCGACAGGGGACCTTTCACAGCTCCCTCTTTTCCCATGGTCGAGTGGGTCTGGGCAGCTAAGACCCCCGATGTGGACCAGTCGCCATTCATAGGCTTTAGGTTGGAGCAAACATGCTGCAGGTTACAGCGACCCTGAGAGAGGGAGATAACATATTAGACACATTATAATTGAGCTGCAGCTTGATCTCATGTCAACTGTTAAAAGACATTATAGTACACACATTTAAAAAAAGTAGAAAACATGTTTTTTAATAATACATAGTATTTAAAAGTAAGTTATTCCAATTGTTCATGTTAATATTATCATTATTATTACACTGTTTTTAGTTTGTGTAGTGGTTGTATTTGTTAATTTACTTTATGATATTATAACAATCTGTTTCCTTGTTTAATTACAGGACAATTCAAACAGAAATGCAATTGCAATGAAACACCTTAAGTTCATAAATATGACCAAACTATTTATCTCATGGCAACAGTCTATTATATACATTTTGTGTCACATTTGTATTACTTTATCTTAATTGTATTGATCCCTCACAAGCCCCCAGACAGGATTAAGAGAAAACATTTGTTTTTGTTTTCATCATTCAAAATGATTGTGGGAATTGAATCACTGAAAATATCTCTAGGAATGGATTTCCATTCTGCCCCGCCAGTCGTTCAGACTGTCAGTCAAGTTCAAGTTCACAGGGGTGGAAACGTCTCGACTCCTCATTCACTTCTGTCCCCCCCCCCCCCCCCCCCCCCCAAAACCCCGCCTCTGCAGTGACTGCATGGCGTTACTATGACAGAGGGCCTGTGGCGTTGTTATGGTAGCAGTCTGCTTGGCCTGGCTATGTGCTGGTGAAAAGGACAGCCTGTCAGAGAGAGACTCGGGTCCCCCCCCAACAGCTGGGCACAGGAACCCCCCCATAGCCAGCCCCCCTCAGGCCTTTCAAACATCACCCAGACCCTGGGAACACCAAGAATTTCGCATTCATCATGCTCACACACACACACACACACACACACACACACACACACACACACACACACACACACACACACACACACACACTGGACACGCCTCTCTCTACCTCCCGAACTAACTCTAGTGTCAATCCATCCACCACTTAACATCACTCTTCACATACACTTCCAGCCACCGCCACACACACACACACACACACACACACACACACACACACACACACACACACACACACACACACACACACACACACACACACACACGTCTTGCTACACCTCACTTTACTATGGCTACCTGTAATGAAGTATAGGATTTCAAATTAAAAACTGAAATAAAAGAGCCTGGGAAACTAAGCCGTGTTTGTGTGTGTGTGTGTGTGTGTGTGTGTGTGTGTGTGTGTGTGTGTGTGTGTGTGTGTGTGTGTGTGTGTGTGTGTGTGTGTGTGTGTGTGTGTGTGTGTGTGAGAAAAAGAGGGAGATAGATTTTGAGGTCTCATTCAACTTTGAGCTTGAAAGGCTGATGATTTGCATAAACTGCATGCTGTCTGAGGTGCTCGGGGGTGGCAGCCATACTGAGAAAAGATATGAGGGAACATGAAAAAAAAAGAAAGCACGATCCTGCTTTGTGAAGCTGCAGGAAGAATGAGGAGGTTTGAATAAGAGAGAGGGTGAAAATTGGCAAATAAAGGGTCTTACCATGTCTCCCAGTGGGATTAAATTGTCCGGGAACCTCTTTATATATAATTTGGTGAATCTGGCAGCGGCATGGCTGCGGGCTGATCTCACATCAAGCTCCCGCCTGAAATTCAGAAAAAAGAGGACAATGTGCTGGGATGATGCAACCAGTTGGAGAAACGTGTAAATGCTAAGAGTGGACATCACTTTATCTGACTCTATACATGTAAATGTTGAATTGCAGAGCTTATTCAGATTTCTTATGTTTATGTCTGTTTTTATTTTTTAGGAAAGGACCATAATGATGCAGCGGAGGCTCGTCAGAGCGTGTATCAGCGTGTTAATCACACGGACTCACCGGACAACACATGGGGCTTTGTCTCTGTGCGACTCAGCTGCAAATACAGCTCAAGCCACAGTTCATATACATTGTCTGCCATTAAACCTTTGCATAAATGAGTTTTGATTCTGAAAAAGAACATATTCTAGATATAATTATATTCAAGTGTTATTGCTTTGCTTTTGGAAAATTACTTTTGAAAAATGTGTAAAAATGCAAATGGTTTTGATTGAAATGTGAGCTTTGATTGATGACACAGCTTCCTCTAATTAAAGTAATATGGACTTTGTTTTTTGTAGTTGAATATGTGTGATGTCATCCGCATTTGGATGAATACATGTCCCTTAAAACGCTGCTGTTTCTGTTCATTTACAATTTGTGTAAGTTAATTTATTAAAATGGCATTATAGCATTTGAGATTATCAAGTGATCTGAATTACATGTGTTGCTCTTCCCTTAATAAAATACATGTTTGAGAAATATGATTACTGTGTTATTATTTACAGTGTTTTTGGTTATCAGCACCTTGGACAGAGACGTTTTAGTCTGCATGTTACATTTGTGTACAAGGAAGGAAATAATCTTTTTTTTACATTCATTCACCTCTCAATAATAGACGATACAAATGTGCAATATATTTACCGTATACCACCTGGCCGCTATATTGCTTTACTGTTTCTGGTACTGGATGTGTATTTTTTAAATTGTGTTATTTCTAGTTTTATCTTTTCATGTTTTATGCATGCTTCTTAAGTTATACTAAGCTCTCTTTGGCTCTACTGACGTGGGAACAAATGTAATGTCCCCTCTGTGGGACAAATAAAGGAATTCTGATTCTGAAACCAGGGAATAGGTAAATACTGTTGGTAGAAAAGGGCCTCTGAGTACATGAATGAAAAATCGCACACGATAAGTGATGAATAAATGTGAACTAAATGTATATGTTGTCTGAAACTTTCAATACAATGTTATTACAATGACTTTTTAAGCTTAATCGTAGGCCTCAGCTAAGTGTCGCACTAACTTGCTCAGATTTAGCCATCTGATAAATCCTCTAAAAATGTTATTAAAATAACATATGTAACGAAACATATGAATTCATAGAAATAAAATAAATTATATAAATAATACAAGCCTAACGTAAGACCTCACCTCTCATCTGTACCACAAATCAAGTCACTTTTACATCTTCCTCTAATGTCATTCAATATTGAGATGATGTAATCGCACATGATGGCATTATTGACCAGCTTTTGTGTCGTACTTCACGTCTGTTGTGTTGAACCTCAGATTAGGAAACTGCCTCCCACATGGTGACGACCTGGTGTCCGCAGGGCTGCAGTGTGCTGCCGGACACAGGGAGCACGACCTCTCACTCTCCTGGGACACAACTTGACCCGGGACAAGCCGACAGACACGTGTGTGTTCCTCTGATGCTTCAGGTGTTACTCTACCCAGCGTATTTAAATAAAGTCACACAATCATGTTGCCAGTATTACGCTTTCTAACAGCAGAATATCGTACTTCAGTATCTCATATAAAAAAAATTATATATCGTTTTGTGAAAAATGATGTAGTGTGTCCATGGCCTCAGAGGAGTCAAAGGTCATGCTCATTTTTCTCCTATTTTAAAATCACAAGTGGTGATATGCATGTATTTAATACTAAGGGAGAAACATTACATTTTATGCATATAGCCCAATATCATATCACACATTTGTCTTTACAGTGTGTACTGCATGCCACACCCTATCTGAGACCCTCACAGTGCACAAGGAAAAACCAATGCAATGCAATAAATCAATGCAAATGCTAATTCATGTCGTCTTTTATCCATGGGTTTGGACATTTATTTATTTTCTAATACAGGAAAGCTGGTTGCAGTGCAGAGTGATATTTCTGACCATTGCATAAAGAGAGTCAAGAAAGAAACAATTGTCAACACTTGGTGTGGAAGAACTTGACAGTCCTGCAAAGAGCCCTGACCATCAAGCCTCATCACACAGATTCAGATAGGAGGTTAGCAGCATATTAAAGCCAATGGTTTTGCAATGAAATATCAACAATCACATATTTTTGGTCATGTAATTTTGCTCTCTCATCACATTTAATCATCAGAGCCTGATGTGTATTTGACTAGAGGAACTCATGAGCTGCAGGTGTTCTCTCTCACGGCACTCAGTGTGAATTCATTCATTAACTCTGATCAGATGTTCTACTTGTCAACAGATGGAGATAGATGTTGTCTATTGTTGTACAATTCACCAGAGGTGGCATTATTCACCAAGACTGAGAAATACAGTTTCAGGCTGCATGCAACGAACAAAGCTCACTTTTATATGAGTTTTTTAAGCTTTAATAACCTTAAACCGTTTGTGACATCCTGTTTATTTCACATATTCAAACTACAATATGGAGAACAGGCAGTATTTTCCATTCCATTTAAGCTTTCAAAGGGCTCAAATTTGGCACTGAGTAAGATCATCATGTACATGTGGTTTTCGCAGTAGGAAGTGAGACGTTCAGAGTGAGCTCAGACAGTATGCAGCTGTAGACCAGGTTTGTGTCTGTGGAGGGCTGTAGATGATTGTCCCGTCATTTATATCTTCCAACTCAGTGAGCTTTAGGTCTTGTACTCGCGTTTGCATAAGAATAGAATCAGGTCCTGTGAACTTCCCCAACCTATTGACCCAGCTCCCCAGACATGAATGGCTCTGCTATGAGGCTCCCCAGCCTCTCCAAAAGGCTTTAACCATGCCGTAAGTCCCAATCATGGTAATTTAATATATCTTAAGCCCCTGGCTGTTTTGCTGAAGCCCCTCTACAGTTTGTTTTAGGCATTCTGTGCTTCTCACCTCATCAGCACTATTCCCTTATTTGGCAAATTGAAGGGGCTCCTGTGGCACCACAAGTTCCCTTTCAGTAGCCAAAAAAGCAGAGATTCCATATAATTAGAGTTTTACTTATTTTCATTAATTACTCAGATGTATAAGAAAGAGGAACGTTTCACCAATGATTCACAGCTGAATAACTACATGATGAAGCTGAGTCTTTGTATCATATTAAGGGAGTTACCACTAAATATGAGCATATTTTTAGTTGCCGTTTTTATTGTATTGTTGGTTGCTTTGAAGGATAAGATGTCAGACTTACAGGCTGAGTTTGTCCTAAAATTATAACATGCATGTGGGGTGCAGACAAACAGAGACACAAGTGAATGCATACCAATTTGGCCTAAATGAACACACATGAACCTGGACTCCAGAGGGTTAAAGCAGGTGTCCCATGCGTGTCAAATGCACAGGAAGGGACCTCTTCAGGAGAATGGATGGTGTTTTAATGTCAGATGTCATGTTTCCTTATTGCAAATCAATCTAGTTCTATATTTGATGCGCTGAGAAAACACAAACTCATAGAAAGGCAGAAATATCTGTCTGTCTGCAATCTAGACAGATTAATCAATTCCTTAATGCAGCACTAATGCAACCAATTATCCGAGAAGAATTACATTAATATATATGACTTAACTGGAAGGTCATTCAATTTTAATACAGTCAGTGTACTCTTTATGCATTTAAGTCATTAAAATAAAATGTTTGGACTTGGCATATATTACTTAACAAATCAAATGGATGGATGAATTTTAATTTATGAAGTCAAATTGTCCTTCTTTTTCTCTCTGTTGGTATCCTAAAACACACCTTTTATAGATATATTTTATTTATTATTTTATTTCCATAATGATTAAGTCTTATTTCAGCTCAAGCAACATGCAATTATCCCAAAAGGTTAATATCATGTTCATACATTATTAATTTGTAAGACATGTTCTTGAATTATTCGTAGCTGTTCTAATTTAAAATGAGCATCCATCTAATTTATTGGAAGCACAAGAGCCACACATGAGAATGTCTTCATGTGAGTAAAATGTTTTTTTTATCTTACTCTATGTACTGGGTGATATAACACTAAATAGCTCATAAGTGAATGTTACACTTTAAGGGACTACGTTTTGGTGACAGAAAATAAGTATGATCACTTTTTTTAAGAGCTTAAATGATCAAAATCCTTCACTTACATTTAGTTTGGAAATATTTGAGTATCATGGCAGAAATACTTAGAGGACCACTCACGTTCTTCAAACATATATAGGTAGGAAGCACAGCACTCATTCTACTTCCAAAATATGGACCAAAAAAAAACAGTCAAATAAAATTAATTGTGTGTTAATAAATGTGCATAAAACACGACCAGCCTGTGTCAGAGTGGCACCACCTGCTGGAGGTCTTCTCACCTGCATTTACTTTACTGCACCCACACACACAAAATCCATTTTAAAGGTATGTTTGTGTCCTCTTCCCTGTGAAGGATCTTGTGATGCTTTTATAATTGACAATTATCTCTAGAGACATAACTTGTGGCTTGTTTGGTAAAAAACAAGAAAAACATGGATGCATACCTGTTGATGAATGAAGAGACACAAACAACGAATTCAACTTTAGGTATTGTTTATACCTCCTGCCAATTAATCATTTAATATTTTTAGATGCAGAGAATGGATTTCTTTTCACCAAGATTAACAGAGGAGTGTTTAAGGATTCTGGAAATGTATTCAAAAAAAGGGTTGACAAATGTGTTACAATATTTTTTAAAGATCAATCTCCAAGGAAAAATTAAAGATTTACTTTGTGACTTGAACAATAGGAAACGTAAATAGACAAAGAGGGACGACTTTATCTTTACATAATATGACGTTGTGGAATCTAAAGGCTTTTAAGAAACTTTGTGAAGACAAGAAGAAGTATCTAAAGGAACTCAAACAACACATTTTAGATGGTTAAGCATTTTCAGTCCTCCATTATAGTCATTGAATGCATTGCATTGTTTTAGTTCACTGGGATGGCTGATGAGCTTGGAGGATGGGGCACACATTGATATTTTCCCAAAGACAGAGATGGGACTCCTGAAACAAGGACCTCATCAAAGTTTCCGACACAAAAACGTCCAGCTCTGCACACACAAAAAGCCCAGAGAGAAGAAATGTGTACAAAACAACAAAGCACACGTTTGTTTCTCTTCCCTTCACATCCCAATCAAAGCCTCTCATTAACACGGTTTCTTTTCAGAAAGTGTAGATCAAATAGTAGCAATTATCTGTGCAAACTTTGATGAGGAGGAATCCCATGCACGCATTCATGGCTGCACATTCGACAATAATCTGGGTCCAGGGCCTGGTTCACTGCACAACCAGTGCTCGCTGAGGCCCACTCTGCAAAATATGAATGATCGCTAATGAACGTCCATACAATGATCCGTGCCGTGCCAAAAAACAAAAACATTGCAGGACACACACACACACACACACACACACACACACACACACACACACACACACACACACACACACACACACACACACACACACACACACACACACACACACACACACACACACAC